AAATAATTTATACTGAGTAGAATGGAAAAAAATTCCAGTAGAGATAGATAATAAGCATGTTAGATTCCAATTTTGATGTTTAACCATTGACAAATTTCAGTCCCTATCCCTTCTTCTTTCTCCCTCCTGCCCCACCTCTAGCCAAGCAGATAAGGAAGCCTGGACGTTTCCTCTTTTGGTGCTGGCAGGAGTGGTCAGACCCTGGAAACCCCAGTGGTCCCCAGGAGAACTCTAACCTGGCCCCATCCTCTAACCATAATGGCCACTAAAGCCATTTGCTCCTCCCTTCACTCACATTATTTTGAATTGCCCTGCTTTTCCCAGAAAGCCTCAGCGTGTGAGCAGTAAACCTTTTCAGACCCTTTGGGTGCAGGGGAATCACTCCGAACATCTGCCCCCAGAGTAGAGGGATTGCGCCCATTCTCTGTGGGGTGTCTCAGTTTGTCCAGGCTGCTGTAACAAAATATCTTTGACTGGCTAACCGATAAACAGCAGAAACTTATTTCTCACAGTTCTTAAGACCATGAAGTTCAAGATCAAGGCACGCTTGGTGCGTACCCCGGTGCCTGTGAGGACTTGCTGCCTTGTTGATGGTGTCCTTTTGTGAGACTCCTGGCGAACTGCCGTACCATCCACACTGTGGTCTCTTCCCCTTTCTTCAGTTTATTCTGAATCAAACCCCAGCCCTTATATTGTTACTGAATAAAATTTCAGATCTCCTTATTATTTAATAAGCAGATGATTCAATCGTCTTTACTTTTTCTAGATGTAAGGACAAAATCCCAACTCATAATTTCCTTTGACGCCTAAAAATTGTCCTTTTCTTAACATCTTCCAAAGTATTCATCTTCCTATGTCCCTTCCCTTTCCCCTCCTCCTCTCCCTCCTCCTTCTTCCTTTTTTCCTTTTTCTTTCTCTTCCTACTTTCTTTCCTCCTTCCACTTAAAAGAACTTTTTTAAAGGATATACAGGTTTAATTTTTCCAGTTATGGTTGTGGTTTCCTAATAGGCATCTCTTGCTCCATTTCCAACCACTGAGAATCTATTTTGCTAAAATGGCAGCATTTACTTATGTACTGGTCCTTTATGTGTTTAGAGAAAAAGTTTTTTTTATTTTTTTATTTTTTTTATTGAATGGTAACTATGTACATTAATGCACTTCTGGGGTACAGTGTGGGGTTTTCACATGCAATCTGAAATACTTCCATCAAACTTTTTTTTTTTTTTAAGAAACAGAATCTCACTTTATGGCCCTTGGTAGAGTGCTGTGGCATCACGCAGCTCACAGCAACCTCCAACTCCTGGGCTTAGGCGATTCTCTTGCCTTAGCCTCCCGACTAGCTGGGACTACAAGTGCCTGCCACAATGCCCAGCTATTTTTTTGTTGCAGTTTGGCCAGGGCCGGGTTCGAACCTGCCACTCTTGGATATGGGGCTGGTGCCTTACTCATTGAGCCACAGGTGCTACCCAGAGAAAAGGATTTTTAAAAATCCTACAATCCTCAAAGTCCCTTCAAATAATAAAAGCTGCCTACACTAGTAATGCACAGTGGAAAAATATAGTAAATGAGAAGAAGTATTATTTACCATTTATAGTCGTAAACAAAATTAAGTATTGGATGTTACTTTAACCAGACAAACTCTAAAAGCCTAATGATACTAAAGACTTGTTTTTCTAACGTTGATAAGGTAGGTTTTGGAAGTTTTATGTCAGTGGATCTGGGCCTTGTTGATATTTTCCCATAAAGCAAAGTAGAACTGTCTTGATATCACTCCTGCACAGGAATCAAGCACAGGCAGAATGCAACCAACATTTTAGAGGGAGTTCACATTACTTGGACCTGGTTGAGGCAGATCTTTTCACACAACGGCGTGATTGCAGAGTCCGTGTCAAATTCCCATAGATTTTATTTGCTTTTATTTTGTTATCATGACGAAAAACAAATTAGCTATTTGAATACAGTAACAGAACAAAAAGAACTATGACCAATTTACATTGTAGACTCTGTGTTCTTTTGGGATCCTACTACGTGCGTGAGCATTACAGAATTATTTCTCCTCTGGGAAATTGTGGGAGGTACGTGCTATTCTCTAACTCAGGCTTGCACTCACATCATGAACTTGAACTTCACACAAGTAAGGAAATGGGGTAATTCTTGTGCCCTTAGCTTGGTGAAAGAACTTGTAATTGTTGCACATTGTGTTTATTTGTTTAGACCAAAGTCTGAAGTCTTTGAAACAAGGACTTGTTTTCGTCTCTAAGCCTCAACACTTAGCTTGCAGAGCCAGACCAATAGTCAGTGAGTGCCCAAGAGCATTTTGTAAAAGGAGTAGTTAATATAGAAACCTTTTAGAACCAGTAGCACAGCTTCTTGGAGTTCAGCTTTATCTAGGAAGTTGGCATTTAAAGCCTCTTTTGTTCTTTACTCCAAGCGGTTCTTGAAAGCATTTTTACTGTTCTCATAGTTTTGATGTAATTTTCCTTATTACACCCTACTCCAATGTTAGAATCTTCAGCTGTTTTTTTTTTTTCCCCTAAGACAGAGTCTCACTATGTTGCCTTCAGTAGAATGCCGTGGCATCACAGCTCACAGCAACCTCAAACACATGGACTTAAGTGATTCTCTTCCCTCAGCCTCCCAAGGAGCTCAGAGGCTAATTTTTTGTTGCAGTTGTCCTTGTTGTTTTAGCTGGCCTTGGCTGGGTTCCAACTTTCCAGCCTCAGTGTATGTGGCTGGTGCCCTATCTACTGAGCTGCCCAAGGTGAGAGATCTTAAACTTTTCTCCTTATGATCTTGGCAAAGCAACTATTTGGAAAAAGTACATGTAAAGATAATATTTATTTGAGCAAATTATATGCCATTGTGTGTGTGTATATGGGGGGAGATAGAGATGGAGACCAAAAATGCTCTAACTGGAGACATTCATTTCATATTTAAATATTTAGAATTTTTAGTAGCCTGTAAATACAAGAACATTTATTACATTAAGGCAGACTTCATAGATTTGACATGTAGCTGATATTTTCACAGTGTGAGAAATATCAAGCTGACATTACACTGTCTCTGTGATGATTATTTCCAAATGCCAGAGTGCAGAAACATATTCATGGGACTGCAGAGCCTTAGTTAGGAGAGTGTCATTTTAAAAGACATTCATATCAAGTTCTTTTTTATTTCAACATGAAGTATGAAAAGCAGGTTAAGAAATCAACAGAGAGAGGCAAAGCAAAGAAGAAACCTATTGACAAGAAAATTTTAAATAATAGATTGATGTGCTCTGAAGTCAATTTCCTGGACCTCTTGCTGATAGCAGGCTTCAACAACTGTCTCCTAATAGTTCTGCAGCTATAAACTTGCTGTTCCTATTATTTAACTCAAATGACATTACATTTGAAAAAAAAATAAAAATAGGATAAAAACTATTGGATTATTTTGTAGATTATCTTTAATAAATCAAATAGTAACGTTGGACTGCAGACTAGAATCAAATACTGGTATTTTAAATTAAAAATTTATTATTTTCTCGCCCATCTCTTTAGCAGTTAATTATGAGCCTACTGAACTGCTTGAACGTCTGCTATTTTGGAAATAACTCAAAAGAGTTTTTTTTTTTTAAAACCAGTTGGCTACCTCAGAGATAACTACGAGTTTAAGTAAACCCCTTTGGTTCCAATTACGTGCACAGCAGTGCTCCTAATTTCTTGGGGTCACTGAAATGCCATGGCATCCTCTGGAAAGCATTTCCCCGTTCAGTCCATCCTGTTAGGTTTCTTTTCTATTTGGAAGCCAGTATCTTTTCCTTTTTCAAATCCTCCATTTTGGGGGCAAACGTGGAAATGATACTGGTAACATGGATTCATTGTCTTAAAATCAGACAACTTTGTTCTTCTGCAGGTCAATGACAGAAGTCACTGTGTAGCCACCTAAATTCTCCTATTTATCTTGTGTAATATTATTTTTGATACAAACAGAAGTTGCGGACTTCCTTAAGCAAGATCGGCTGCTTTGGGGGGCTGCCAAAATTTAAATTCTTTACTTGAAAATCAAAAGGACAAAGACGCTGAGAGACAGAACTGCTACAGAGGCGCATTGTAATCTTGTTCACGAAAACCAAAGCCCAGAAAGAACAGATTGCTAATTCTGTTATCCAACTGGTATGGCTTACATTTTTAAATGTAGGAGCTGGATTCAAAGAAGATAATTTCATTATTACGCTCAAGCGTCACAGGGGTAAGACACTCAGTGTATTGTAGGCACTGAATGTCACAAGATGAGAACACTGAACAGCCGGAGTTTGCCCGTGTTCACTCTCGTATCATACTCTTCCCACGGCGGCCCAGTTCCACCGGTCCTGTGAAAAGGGGGCAAATGGGAGCGTTATGACCTTGCTCCCAGGACTTTGGCACCACAGTCCCTCCCCAGGGCCATCCCTTTCAAGATCCCAAGGCGGCCAAGGCTGGCAGGTCCGATCCTTCCCTTTGCACCTGTTTTCGTCTTGGAGGCTGTTCCTAACCCGGGACTTGCTAACAGAGGGCGGAGGATTTCGTCAGTTTTATAACACTTAGTTCAAACCTAAGCCAGGCACGGTTCACCTTGTATTCTGATCTCCTTCCTATTTGTCTTTTTTTTTTTTTTTTTCTTACTAACTGCCAAGTTCCTACCGCCCTGTTTATCTTCACTCCCACAGCCCAAGGCCAAATCCGGCAGGAATGGCGAGTGTTCAAAACGTGGGGCAAAAGTTGTAGGATTTCAGGCTTTGCTGGGAGGCCTCTTTCCGCTCAGGAAAGCCGCGGGGGAGCTGGGCTGTCGTCTTAGATAGAGACCCAGGCGCTAGACCTCCATCCCGCCTGGGAGTGGAATCCCAAACTCCAGCGCTGAACCCCAAGCCTGGAGCAAAAGAGGAGGAGCTTCTGGGCGGGACTTCTGAGGGCCCCGCCCCGCCCCGCCCCGCCGCGTCGGCGCGCGGCGCCCCCCGGTGGCCGTCAGGCCGCGTTGCTCCCGGCCGGGGAAGGCGTTGGCGGCGGAAGGGGAAGCGCGGAGCCCGCGGGGCCGAGCGGCCATGGCGGAGCCGGTGCGGGAAGAGCTCTCGGCCCTGGCCGCGATTTTCTGCGGGCCCCGCGAGTGGGAGCTGCTGAGCCGCTCAGGTGACTACCCCACGAGGGAGCCAGTGACGCGGCGCCCATGTTCTCTCCGCCGCGCCCTCTGCCCCCCACCCCCGGAAGCCTCGGTTGGGGACCTGGTTAGTGAAACGATGGAATGATTCTCATCGGGGACTGGAGTTCTGTCGCAGGAGGCGCAAGCGTGGGGCGACCCCCTGAAACGTGAAGGGCGTGGTGCGGCCCACGCCAGGCTGGATTCCGGGCCCAGCGTCCCTTCCCGAACGCGCTCTCCACGTCCTGGCTAGCCATGCACTTGCCCTCCAGCTGTCACCTTAAAACCTGGTTTATGCTGACACCCCCCCCTTGAAATCCAGCTTCCCCCAGTTGTTTTATATCCTTTATAAGCACTTTGCATTAGGCCCCTGAGAGCACTCACCATAGTTTTAACTCTCCTTGGGTATTTGGTCGTCTGAAGTTGCACAAGGGCAGGTACCACGTGTGTTTTGTAATCAGAAAACTCCCACCGCCCCTAACTGTGCCAGCCAGGCACACGATAGTGTTCGCTGAATGAGCTTTTGACTTCGTCCAGTGCTCAACCCTTGCCTTATTTGAGTTCTTTTTCCAAGTTGAATGCTTTTTCTCATACTTTTTTTTTTTTTAACAAGCTCTTAGGGACGCATTAATCATTCAGCCCTTTTTTGTTGAATATCTGCTCTGTGCAAACATTGACAGTTTCTTTCCAAGGCACCGCCCATGTCCTCTAGGAGCTTACAGTCAGAAGAGGATTTTTTGCCTATTTTTTGATAATAGCTAAAATTTATTCTGTCCCTGCCTGTGACTTTTATTAAGTAACAAACAAAACTGCCACTTCTAAGAAAGTGTAATGATGTGCAGATAATTCTCCATTTACCTTAATTTTTAAATACATTGCTCTCTTTTGGGGGGGTCTCTTGGGATTTATCCTTGTAATGTTAGGTTGTAACCAGTATTAAAATTGTCTTTCTGACATTAATTGGTTGACCTTTAAAAATGTAGTCTAACATGGGCTGGAAGTTAGGAGAAAATCATCTAGGATTAAGCTAGCTTCATGGTATCCCTGCGATGTGTTACCCATAGACTGGAAGTTGGCTCATTTTCACTTACTCTTGCATTCACCTGTCTACTGGCATTTGGTGAGCACTCCGAACCCATAAATGTAACGGAGCTGCTTTCTTTTTCGTGCCTGGTGCCTTGCCTGTCTTATGTCTTTTTGAAACAGTTGCTTAAAATCCCTATTAAGGGATTGACTCACTTTCACTGCTTTTTGTCACCCTTTCTCTGATTGGATAGTGTTCTTAATTCCCATCTCCCTGTCTCCTCTGCTGTCTTTATTGATAATTACTGCTGCCTGAGGCAGCTATTTGAAGAGATCATCAGTTTTCTTAAATTCATTTATTATGGCTCAGTTGGGAATATCCTGGGAAAATGAATCTGCGATTTCCTATCACACCTTAAAGAGATAGTAATAGTTTGGGTCATGAGTACACAGTTGAGCATAAAACACTGCTGACAGGTCAGAGAAAGCCCAAACAAGTAAGTGTGGAAACAAAGACAACAGTTTCTTAATATTGAGAACACTGTGGACTCTTTATCTGCTGTTAAATTGAGCATGACTTTCAAGCCATGCCTCCTAATTAATTTAATTCAGTGTTCTGGCATCAATAAGTAATTGAATTATAAAAGAATTCAGGGTAACAACTTAGGACATTTTGTTGCTGAAAGGTTCATTGCTGAGTAGAACAGTTCAGTGATTGAAATAGGGATGTTTGATGTTTACAATTGAGCATTAAGGATAAGGTAAGGATTTCTTTAACAGAAAACATGCAGCAGGCTGTTGGCTGCCTCTCACTGTCAGTATGGTTTGGAGGATATAAGCTTGAATATTCTACACACCATCAATTTCTTCCTGGCTTCTGCAAAATAAAGTTTCTCCTTGTTGCCATTGGAATCAGGAGAACATTGCCGAGGGATTACACTTTTGGTCACAAGATAACCCAGAAAGGCTCAGGCTGCTAATCCAAGGGTCAAATATTAGGGCCACGAGATCATAGAGGCTGGAAAACAAACAAACAGGTTGAAGAGGCTGAATAATTGGATTCAGTTTAGCTGTATTAATTTAATCAAAATTTCAGGGAATTTATCTACATTTCGGCCAGTGGTTATAGTAAATAGGAGGTATCAGGTGTAACCATCTCCTAGGGACACAAATTATTATATGTAAACCAGCCCCTATACTCCTGTCTATGAGGGATGGCTGTGGGTAGATCAAGTCAAGAAGGTTCTGTCCCTTGCCAGGCCAGGTGGCAGATTTAGTGGGGTTACTTACCATGTAACAGACTTAGAATGCAGCTTGCTCTGTGAGGGATACACAGAGATGATCACTGACTTCAGACTGGTTAAATAACCACCAGGTTCCAGAGTGTATGAACCTTTGCACTGCATCATGTTCCTTAATAGAGATGTGGCTGCTGTATCAAGAAAACAGTTCTGCAGAGCAAGGAAACCCTGGTCCAGAAAGAGTAATAATGAGCACCTAGAGAAACAACATGGTATAATCCAGCTTAGGTTCTGAACACTTCTAAAGAGGAGTGCGTGTGTGTGTGTGTGTGTACATTTATGAGGTGTGTGAGGGTAGCGTTATGTATCTTCATTTTCCTGGTGGGGAAATTGAGAGTCACAGAGATAAGATTGCTATAGTTAGCGCTCATTATACATAGACAGGGGTTGCATTTCAGGAAATCGTCTCACAGATCAAAAACCAGTGAAATGGGAGATGTGTAAAGCCCAGTGTCAGGTAATATGTTTGCACGGTAGTTTCAGGGTGAATTTTTCTATGTTATTAACGCTCATGTTCCAATTAGGTTGGGCCCTCTTGAAAAAGGAATCATGACTGTCACACTTTAACCCCTCTAATCTGCTCAGCTCTGTCAACTCTTTGTCAGGACTGAGCTCACCCCTGTGAAACCAATTTAACCTTGAACTTCACTCCTGTAGGATGACATTGCCACTTTTAGCTTCCTTTACTTTTAGTTTTTTTTTTTTTTCTTTCGTAATTGCTCTGAAACATATGTCAAAATCCAGCTGACCCCTACGACAAGGGCTGTGTATGTGCACTTGTGACCTGCCTGGGAGCAAGAGTTTCCTCTTGTGACATCAAGTATGAAGTTGTTGGAGGCTTCTTAGTGGTTTTCTGCAAAGTCTTACATTGAGGATATATGCCAAAAAAAAAAAAAAAAAAAAAATTAAGTGATGAATCTTGAAGACCACATTCTCTTAAATGTTACCCTTTCAGGGTCTTTCGTTATTAAACCACATTTTTGAGTTTCTTTTGTGTGTTTGTAGACTGCAAAGATGAGTGAAACTTAAAAATAGCATTCACGTGGCATTTGGGTTCAGTTCAGTTTCTGTAGTTTGAATTTCTGTTGTCTGGAGCGTGGTGAGGAACATAATTTCTTTCATGCGTTTGTAAGGAAGTGTAAGATCGAAACCTATTTCAGTTTTGAAATGGATACAAATATCATAAGGCAAAATGATTTGTAAAAAACAAAGTTTGCATGAACTCCAGCTGAAGGGTAAGACCTACGTCTTTTTGTAGGGTCTTTAGGGTAGTTTGAAATAGCCTTGAAACTTAGGAAAATTTTAGTTTTCTGCGACAAGCGTAAGTTTTTTAGCGCTCAGATATTTATTGAGAATGATGAATTTGTGAATTAAGCTTATTAATTAGAGTATTCAGGGCATGTGGAGAGGTAGAGATTACCATTAGGTTTAGAGCACGATTTTTTTTTTCTTGTAATCACTCTGTTTTCTAAGCTGTTAATAACCTTAAAGCAGATAGGGGCAACTTTGCTTTCTTTTTATTATGGAAGAGAGAAAAAAATATCATAATACCAATGCATGTGTTACATGAAAAATTCTGAGACAAAAGGAGTCAGTTAATTGCTTGCACAAACTAAGGCAGCTGAGAAATGGCAGAGTAAGATACTTGGAGAGTTTCAGGGAGAAAATTAGTTTTTAAAAGAGTGTGTGATTTTATAGCCACATTAAATGTCAGCAGAATGGGGTATGTCATTTTGCTTTTCACTGGCTTATAAAGAGGACATCATTCTGTGTAACTTTAGTTTGCAGCTACAGCGTCTGTAGATGGGTGGGCAGAGGCGCTCACCAGAAAGACCAATTAGGAAGAATGCTCATTCTTGTAATTCTTAAAAGAATTAAAATAGCTTTTCTTCGGAATATCTATTACAACTGATAGTTTCACAGTCTTTTAAGACACAGGTCAGGATTTTACCCCATTGCTAATCTGTTTGTGACCAAGACCAGCAAATGACAGAGAGAAAAATGAAAGCTGATGAAGATTTACGTGGCCGGCTCAATGGACGTTTAAGGTTCTCCCTGTACTGTTTCTGTTATTTGGTTTGGGAAGGAAGGGGTGGGTGTTTATATGGCCAGCGTTGGAGATCACTGTGGATCTCAGGGTGTTTTCAAAGCTGTAAGAAAACCTCTTGTTGTAGTGGATACATTGTCTCTTTTGTGGTGAAATCTCCCTCTGCCCTCCCCTTATAAGGACACCTGTGATTACATGTAGGGCTCACTTGAGTAATCCAGGATAATCTCTCCATTCAGGATCCCTAAGTTAATTATGTCTGTGAAGGCTCTTTTACTATGTAAGAGAATATGCTCATATGTTCTGGGGAACAAGTTGTATATGTCTCTGGGTCCACTATTTAGCCTACAACAGGTACCAAGGAATTCTACACCTGTGAAATCCATGATTAAAAGTGATACCATAATCCTAAGAGCTATGTCACTGTAAAATTTAAAAACTTTTTGTAAGCTCTTTCTTTGGTTGTTTAAAAAAAAGTTGAGATATTTTCGTGGTAGAGAAAATGGTTAATTTAGCTTAACCACAATAATTCTGGGTATGAAAATACCATAAAATAAGTTCAAAGTACCGTGGAAGTCCTACGGGCAGACTTCAGAGAGAGATGCCCTGGGGACCGAAAAAATTCTAGTAGACACAAAGTTCAGGGCCTTCGTGAAAGACAGGAAAGTAGGAGCAAGGCCCAGACATAGGAAACTAGAGATGTAGGGAGAACATGGTGTAAACGGGGTTGGTTGAGGCAGTTGAAGCCAGGAGCGAGGAGAGAGGCAGCTGGAGTGGTAAGCTGGCCCTCCGTGTTGGATGGAGAAATTTGTAATCTGGTTTGTCAGTGTAGGAGGATTGGGTGTAGGAAGAAAACTGCGATAGCAGACGCCAGAGAAAGGTCTGCAGTAAGAGGACGGTGCTGTGAAGGGAAGAGAGAAATCCTGGAGGACTCGTGGGGGGAGTTTGGCAATTGAATGTTATGAAGATTTCAGGCCTGGGTAACTGGAGCAAGAAGGTTGTTCGTGGTATTATGCTTTGCAGAATGCCTGTGCGTTTGGGGGTTGAGGAGAAGATGACAAAGCAGTGAAGGAATAAGCAGAGACGTAGCCACAGCCCCCGGACTATGCGGTGTCTGAGAGGTGAGGAGGAGAGAGAAGTTTGAGGAGATTGGTCCAGCAGGCTCAGAGGCTATGGAATAGCTCAGATGCAGGATAAAGGCCATTGAATGGGGCTGTATCAGGGGTCCCCAAACCATCCTCAGACTTAACGATTCACTCTAAGGACTTATAGGATTCAGGAAAGCTGTTATCTTCATGGTTGCAATTTTTTATGGCAAGTCGGATACAGATTGGAATCAGCAAAGAAGTAACGTGAGTGAAGTCCAGGCGACAAGGTTCTGGGTGTCCCCGTCAGTGGAGTCGCACAGTTGTGTTAAGTCTCTAAGCAATAATGTGGACAAGGCACAAGAAATGGTGACAACGTAGAAAGCTCACTTGCGCCTCGGCGTCCAGAACTTTGGTGGGGGTTGGTCATGTGGGCGTGTGGCACCTACATGACTGATTTCAGCTACTCAGGCTCCAGCTCCAAGTGCGAGAAGATTCACGATAAATTACAGTGTTAGCACAAACCATTCAATCAATGGGTACATTGTGACCCAAGGCTTTAGGCGTACCAGAAACTCCTTTAATACACAGAATATGACAAGGGCTCCGAGCTGGACTCTCAGGAGGGACCACCCTGAAGACTGGCTGATGGTGGGAATGTGCAGGGTTGGAGCCACCCAGGCCAGCTGAGTTACCTCTTTCCTGCACAGTGGCTGCAGCTGCAGGGACAGAAACGTAGGTCTGTAGCTGAAGGGAGCAAGTAGTGCTGGATTTGTATTTGTATTTTTTACTTCAATTTTTTATTTATTTGAAGCAAGAAGATAAATATTTTGTTAGTGGAGGAGAGGAAACATGGAGGGATAGAAAATGCAAGCAGGAGACCAGTGATAACGGTGGGGACAATGTCTCAGAGATGGTGGCGCTTCCTGTGGAAGGGAGGAAGTCACTTCTCAGATGAGCAAGATGGTGAAAAGATGCGTGTGTTGTCGGGTGGCCAAGCAGTTCTCAGAAGCAGCCGCGGCAACTGTGGCTTCTAAACAGTTTAATCTCACTGCGGGACAGGTGGCAGGGGCTTCACACTTGCCCTGATTCTCCCCGTCCCTTTGTCCTGCGGGGCGATGTGGAGGTGGGCCCAGGTGGATTCTGTGCACACAGTAGATCTTAGTCACAGGTGAGGAGCACTGAGCTTAGGATCCCTCTGATCTTATGAGGAGCTGCTAGTGATCCTGCTCAACCTTTGTCCTGAAGAAATATGTTTCGTCACCCTGGTTAGGAAAAACATCTCCCGTTGGACATGGAGGGAGAAGCTCTCTAGCTCCTGAGGCTGTCTGCTACGCACATATCCTTGAACCAAGCTATCAAAGCCCTTTGCTAACTTTATATTATATTAATTTATATTTATATAAACTATATGTGTATATATTTATAAATAAAGAAATTTGTAAGGGTGGCTCCTGTGGCTCAAAGGAGTAGGGTGTTGGCCCCATATGCCAGAGGTGGTGGATTCAAACCCAGCCCTGGCCAAAAAAAACAAAAGAAAAAGAAATTTGTAGGTGTGGAAAAGAAGTTGAGGAAGATCAAGTGGGGTATGTCCACCCTTTCAAGTTCTGAAACAAGATTTCATCCATGCATCAAGATCTGTGTCTTACCCATCATTTTCCCTAGGAGATTAACTAGCACAGGGCCCTGAGCTTAGTAGGTGCTTGGTGAATGAATGAAAGACCTTTAAAAGTTATACCTCTTCCCTGAGAGACTATGTGGTCTCCCTAGGCGATTATTTGAGAGTTTATTAAGCCCGATAGCCATATGTTCTCTGCAGGTCTATTAACGCCCATGCTACATAGCAAAATATGCTGACCTAACAGTTAGGGAGCCTACTTTAACAAAATATTTTTCAAATAGTATAACTAACTGAATACAAGAAAAAGGGGTTTTGAGAAATGTGATGGATTTTAGAGGGTGTACTAGGTTAGGTTTGGAACTTTTCTTTATACAATACAATACTCATTTTACTTATGTAGTACAAATTTAAATTATATCCTTTTAATATGGTCCTCATAACGGTTCCTGCCTGTGTTTCCAGGTGGTGCCCTAAAATAGTAGTTCTTTGCTGCTAGTGCTGAAGAGTCTGTTAGAGGAAAACTCTGTGTAACAGCTGTGCGTGGTCCCGTGTGAATCAACGTCTGCAACAGTGGTTTTTATATACATGGAATCAGATGGCCAGGAAGCAATTTTAATGTTCTGTTAGGTTCTTTAAAATGGGAATTCATTCAGGTTTCTGTTGTTGAGGCTGTTGAGCAGCCATCCAGGTATGAAAATGAGAAAGATCCGACTCTGTCTCTTGTGCAGAAGAATAACGCAAGGGCTGTGTAGAAAGTGAGGAGGAGAGACAAGTTAGCTCCAGCGAGATTCCTTGGCACCCAGTTCTGTTCTACTGCACTCTTCTCAGCCGCCGCTTCTGCCCCCTCCGCAGAATGAATCAGCCTGACGTCTTATCAACTTTTTGAAAAGTGGGGTGAAGTGGTGTGGAACACATCAGAGGGGAGAAGCCGAGCAAATCTGAAGGAGAGCAGAGCGTTTCATCTTCCCCGCCCTGTGCTCTCCCCTTCCTTCTTAGGGAGCCAGAAGAAACTGAACTGACGGCTGCTCCATTTCAGTTCCTCTCGCTACCTTCATGTTACGCTGATAGTGATATAGTTGAAATAAGAGCAGTCCAGGCAGTTACCGTGTCACGTGCAGTCCTACAGCCACCTGGGCTTCCAGTGTTTACCTGGACTAGACTTACTGCAAAGTGACCTTCTGTGGATTGGGTAGCAAAAGTTAGGGAGGATGTCCACAAGCTGACAGCCCCAGCAATTCTGTTTCTCCTAACACAGAATCTCAGTTATAAGGGACAGACTCCTCTTTGCAGGTATTATAGATACCAAATTGGGTATGTAACTTTTTATTACGGATTTGCTATATCCACGACACTGTTTCTTTGAAAGTTCACAGGAGTTTATTACAGGTTGCTAGAATGATCAACTAAATCTAGAAACAAATGGCATGATGAAAAACCTTTCTGGTAATTTAATCAAAATGTGGTGATAGTAAGTATAAATGCCGCTTAAATCCTGGGTGCTGGTGTGAATGAGTACGTGAATATATGTGTACGGCTGAAGGAAATCTGTACATCGTGACTTTCTTCGTATTATATCTCTCTCCCCAAAATAACTCAGCATTTTCCGATGAAAAAGAAATCAACATTTGAAACATTTTTTTTTTAACTTGTTAGGGTTCCATTCAAATTGAATTCTGTTCAGCTAATGAATATTTTTGGATGCTTTCCAGAGACAGATGGGACCGTGTTCAGAATTCACACCAAAGCTGAAGGATTTTCAGATGTGGATATACCGTTAGAATTGGTGTTCCATTTGCCACTCAATTACCCTTTGTGTCTTCCTGGCATCTCCGTTAACTCCGAACACCTGACCAGGGCTCAGTGCGTGACTGTGAAAGAGAAGTTACTTGAGCAAGCGGGGCACCTTTTGTCAGGGCCTATGGTGCATGAGCTGGTTCTCTGGATTCAGCAGAATCTCGGGTCTGTCCTTACACAATCAGAAGCTGGACGCGGCAGTGAAAAGTGTGCTCTCCCAACAAGCACGACTGTGGAAGATGGATTGTGGATGACTCTTCTGTATTTAGATCACATGAGAGCAAAGACGAAATATGTCAAAACCGTGGAGAAGTGGGCTTCAGATTTAAGGCTGACAGGAAGACTGATGTTCCTGGGTAAAATAATCCTGATTTTACTACAAGGAGACAGAAGCAGCATTAAGGTGCCACCAAGTTAAATGTTGAATATGAATCTGGCTATTTTCTGCTTAACATGATTTGTCTTTAAATGTGTTTTATAACAATGGGATAGATTAATCATTGAGATGTTTCTGCTTTCACTATTACCACGTTAATGGATCTTCATTTTCTTTTTAAAGAATGTCTAACTCCTAATTACAACCACAAACTTGCAAAGCTGGAAGAATAAGTATCAGATGATATTTTAAAAATCATGCCATTTAATGAAAGTGACAGGTTATAAAAAAATTTTTCTGGTGCATAAGTGTTTGTTTCTGTAATTAAGCTATGAGCCTCAACTTTATAAATGTGCAATGTACCAAAAGTTTGTGCATATTAATATTCCTTTCCATAGTTAGGCGCAGCAAGGTGTATATTTGTGGGTAGTCTGCAAGATTTGTAACTTCTGGCAGTTAAAAATACGTTCTGACACTTTAATTTGGTATCTGTAATACCTGGAAAGAAGAGTTTGTCCCTTATAACTGAGATTTTGTGTTAGTAGAAGCAGAATCATTAGGGCTGTCAGCTTGTCACCTCCTACCTAACTTGTGCTTTCCACCTGACTTGTCTCAGCAGCTGCTTTCAAAATCATCATCTCCTTAAGATTTTTCAAGTTCTTATTCTCCAACTCATCTAACCTGTTCTATGAGGGACCAGATGAGGAACACTGCTTATTACATTTTAAATCTTAGGAGGCCTACAAACGAATGACTTAATAGCTTCTGTACTTTCAAATAAGATGGGTCAGGAATAATTATATCTAAATTTACTTAAAGCAAAGTTAGTATGAATAACCTATAATCTTAAAGATTTATGGAATAATGACCTAGTTTTTAATGATGAGCTCTTACTAAAAAACTACTTTGCCATTTGGTTAACCAGATCCGTGCTGGGTTATATTATGTAAATATAACAATAATTCAGATTTAATATATATCCTTGATTGAGGCCTGACCACGCAGCCTTGTATTTTAAGGTGACTCATAGTATATCTATAAAATTTGATCTTTTGGAGTAAAATACTAGCAGACAAAAATGAGTACAAATTTATTTTCTTGCTCTTATTTGCCCAAAAGGCTCAGATTTTTCTTTAATCCAGCTCAGGCTTATTAAGCTAAATGCAGATGTTTTATAATGTTATTCAGATTGAATCATCAATTAGTTAACAAGTATGTATTCATATGACTAGAACTCTGCTAATGTAGAGAAATTGTGCTTTTCTAATAGTTCTTGTTTTTTTAGCTGTCTCTAAAATGTCACTTTCCATAAATTTCTGTTAAAATTTTGTCAGGTTGTATATTAGGATTGAGAACATACAGGTACGTATTTATAGATGCTGCGAACTTGTAATGGTAAGAACTGTGTGCCTGATAACTTCATTTACCTGCTGAATTTGTGGTCACAGCAGTAGCGTGTGCTCTCTCGTGGGCTACAGCAGCCTGTACCAGGCGCCCCCTTAGGGTTTTGCATGTATCATCTCATGTAATCCTATAAACTCCCTATGAGGTAGATCTTGTCATGAGTCCCATTTTATGGAGGAGGTAAACTGAGGCTCAGAGGATTGAACAGCCAGCCCAAGGAGCAGAGATAATACAGTCTGCTCCAGATTAAAACTGAAGTAGTGTGGTTATAGCACTATTTGCTCTGCATTCACCAGTATGTTTCTTTTTCTTTTTCTTTTTTCTTTTTGAGACAGAGTCTCACTATGTCGCCCTTGGTAGAGTGCTGGGGTGTCACAGCTCACAGCAACCGCAAAATCTTGGACTTAAGTGATTCTCTTGCCTCAGCCTCCCAAGCAGATGGGACTACAGGCCCCCACCACAATGCCGGCTATTTTTTGGTTGTAGTTGTCCTTGTTGTTTGGCAGACCGGGGCTGGTTTTGAACCCGCCATACGCCAACTCTGGTGTATGTGGCTGGTGCCCTAGCCGCTGAGCTACAGGCGGCAAGCCATTCCCCAGTATGGTATTCTGCTGATGTAGAAACACTGTGTAACTTTCTCAACTGCTTGATTCAGACAGTGCTCTATAAGCATGAAAAGAAGCCTGTGGTTTTATAGCTCCTTTACAACTAAGGTTTAAAATTAAGGTTTAGAGTAAGATATGTATATAACGTTCTGGTTTATCACTTAGGAGTACCTGGTTCTTCAGAAAACCTCCAAAGTAGATGTGGACTCAAGTGGAAAGAAATGCAAAGAAAAAATGATTAGTGTACTGTTGGAAACAAAACTACAGCCGGAACATAAAAGGTATAATTTAGTAGCGGTGCAGATAGAAAAGCAACTGAATCGATAATTATACTCTGACAAATCTGAGCATATTCACGAGTTTCTCTCCTATCATGCAGGTTTTTGGCATTTGAAGTCAAAGAGTATTCAGCGTTGGATGAATTACAAAAGGAATTTGAAGCTGCAGGACTTAAGAAGCTCTTCTCTGAATTTGTAGTTGGCCTGGTGAAATGAAATGGAAGACAAGAATCTTTTAGTAAAATAGCCGTGTTTTTCGTTGTTTTTACTTTGGCTTTTGGGAGCAGCTGATTGAAGTCGTCACAAGGGAGCAATTTTAAAAGTTTCTCTGAAGCAAAATGATAGACATCATCTTAACTTCAGGAGCAAAGCTGGTTCTGGTTTACAGAGCAGTAAACATTAAAGCACCTCATGTGTGTTTGCCAGGAAAGACGAGGTTCAAGGGATGAAACATCATTGAAAAGATAAATTATAAAACCGTGAAGGTAAATGAGCGAATACTGACAATACTTACTACTTTATTACTCTATACTTTTATAGAGAGAATTTGTTGGGAGCTATGTAATTTTCTGGCTAATTTTCTTGTAAATAAATGATTTCTTAAAAAAGATTTGTTTTCATGTTTACTTATCTCGTGTTTACGTTTTTAGCATTTCGTCACCCTTTCCCCCCATTCGGCTTCTTATGGCTAATGTTTTAAGTTGGCTGTACAGAAAAATAGAACGCTGATTGTGTGTGCGTGCGGAATAGCATAAGTTGTGAGTTTAAATACAAAAGGAAAACAGTGCTGCAGGACCTGACTGTCAGTTGCTTTCTGTGGGGTCTTGGATATCATGGTCCATGACAGCTGTAGAACTAGAGAGTCCACTTAAAATTCTTACTTGAAAAGTTTACTCTCTGGTTTTACAAGGGGAGAAATGTTCACACAGAATGAACTTGGCTTGCTGGATAGAGGAAATTTTATAAGGACATGATTTTTAAAATTTCTTATAAAATCTATTAAAGCATGATAAGATATATTTTTCATGAGCTAAGGAGAGAAGAAGCCATATTAAAATTTATAACAGAAATTTAAGTAGGCATTTGTGTCTGAGAAAGGATGTTTGTGTGCGGGAAGCCACCTGGGCTGCGAAGTAAGGGGCTGAGCCATGGCAGAAAGGCCAGTGACTCCCTCTCACTGCCACCTGTGAAGGACGGTGCTGCCACAACAGTGTTACAACTAGTGGAGGAGAGAAGTGAGGGGAACCTCGTGGCAGGCTTTGTGGTGTTTTTCTAATCTCATTCTCATTTGCAGGCATGCTTTTAATTCTATACCTACCTTTTGATTATTTATGGGGTTCTATCAAGAAGAGGGGATTTTCCGTTTTTATTTTTAACCTCATTGTAGGGTGTCTACAACTTTTTGCTGGAGAACTGGTAAGTGTGGTTGGATCGTCATATGGGAAGAGCCCCCAAGGCAAGGAGAAGCCATCCTACTGGCACGCAAAACTGAGAAAATACGCTTGAAAAGTGTGGGCTCGTCATTTGATTTACTGTAGTTTCAGTGAAAATTAAAAAATGAAAAGAATAAGAGTGAGACTATTGTCCATATGATTGAGCAAGTTTGAGGAGGATCATAATGCAATCCCATTAAGTTATCACCATCAAGGGTCAGTAGCCATCATAGAAGGCTGGGTTAAAAAACAAACAAGAAAAGAAGGATGTTTTCATTTTATCACAAGAGAACTTCTAGACCTCCATTTGACCAGGACTTTGCTTTGCAAAAAATGTTTTCCTACTCAGGCTTTATAGGACGCTTTTAAACTTTCATCTTCACATTTGACCCTGTCCCTAAATAAAGCTTGAATCATGTCAAAGTGAGTGTTATCTGTAATGACTTTCTCCAACTTCATTATTTTTCTGTCTGCTAAAATTATGTAAAACTAGGTATTGGTTATTTGTACTTTCTTAGACATTTATATCTGTCTCTCACAAATATATACACTTCAGAATGGAAAGCTAAACCTTGATAGTGTTAGCGATTTATATAAATGCAGTTTGATCTCTGGATAAAAGGAAATTTAAAATTGTGTACTAAAAATGTATGCATCTCTTTGGTATTTTTTTAAATTTTAGCCTTAGAGGAAGAGAATCTTAATTGTTTCCATTGATATTTTTACCTCAAACTCTATTGCTTTTTTTTTTCTTTCCAGCTTGAGATGCTTATGAAAAGATAATTAGGACTTCCCTGCTTTGGTGGTGTTACACAGACTAGCTTCTCACCAAAGAAAACTAAAAACAAACACAAAACACATTCTATTAAAAGTATCAAAGCTGAGAAGATAGTGAGCTTTGCTGTGCTAACCCTGGAAAGGCAGAGGAATCCATAGAAGTTAGCCCAGTAGGTCTAATCTCCAGAATATTAATAAGAAATAGACAACAGAAAAATGGGCACAAGAACAGGTATTTCACAACCGAGAAGATGCAAATCACTAAAAACCATATGTAATAACGCTCAACTTCATTAGTACGTAGGGGAAATGCATATTAAAACTGCAATTAGTGACCCACTAGAATAACTCAAATTTGTTTTTTTTTTTTTTTTTTTTTTTGAGACAGAGCCTCAAGCTGTCCCCCTGGGTAGAGTGCCATGGCATCACGCTCACAGCAACCTCCAACTCCTGGGCTCAAGCGAGTCTCTTGCCTCAGCCTCCCAAGTAGCTGGGACCACAGGCGCCCGCCACAACACCCGGCTATTTTTTGGTTGCAGCCATCGTTGTTTGGCGGGTCCGGGCTGGGGATTCGAACCCGCCACCTTAGGTGTACGTGGCTGGCGCCTTAGCCGGTTGAGCTATAGGCGCCGAGCCAATAACTCAAATTTGAAAGATGGACAGTAGCAGGAGTTGGCAAAGAAGTGGAGCAGTGGGAATACTAATACCCCATGGTGGGGTACACATTGACTCAGCTACTTTGAGCAAACAGTTTGCCATTGTCTGGAATAATTGAGGTTCCATACCCTATAACCCAGCAATTCTGCTTCCAGGTATCTACCTTACAAAAATGTGTGCATATATGTAGAAGTTACATGTAAACATAATGCTTATAACAACGTAATTTTTAAGTTAATTTTTTTTTATTTTTTTGCAATTTTGGCCAGGGCCGGGCTTGAACCCACCACGTCCAGTATATGGGGCCAGCGCCCTACTCCTTGAGCCACAGGGGCCGCCCAACAACATAATTTTTAACAGTCCAAATGGAACAACCCCAAACATCCATTAGCATAATATGGACAAGCAAATTGTGGTATATTTATACAACGGAATACTATTATGTACTATAAATGAATGAATTACAGCCACATAGAGCAGCACAGATTAGTCTTTTAAAAAATCAATATTGAACCAAGTGAAGTAAACAAGTTGTTATAATAAAAGTTAGGATGGCAGTTACTTCTAGGGAGCAGGGATGGCCTTGTGGTTAGGAAGAGGCAGGATGGGTTTTGTGGGAGATGGCCACCTCCTATTTTCTGACCAGGGTGCTGGTTTCTCAGGTGTGTTCTTTATAATAATTCATTAATCTGTACAGCACTTTAATATACATTGCTGTATTTCTTTGCTCATAAAAGTAGACGCGACTTAAAGCCAGAGTTACTACAATATTTCTGGAAAATAATATTGAAGATAATTCCGAAACCTTGGTAATTAATAGCAATCTCTCAATCCCGAACTTTGACTCAGCTACAGACAGAATTGTAAGGTAGATGCTGCAGGTAAGCTATTTTTTTTAAGTAGGGTGGTTGGGGGAAATTTTCTCTAAGGAGCTGCTATTTGAAGCAATGCCTAATGAAAAGGGACTAACCACAGGAAGGTGAGCAGGGGTGGATGAAGACAGTTTGGTTTAAACTTGGTGGGGTTGCACAGGATCAGTTACTGGTTTTTCATCTAGGGATAGTTTTGGTAAGTCATGGGCTAAGTAGTTTTTGCCATGTTTGTATGCATTGTTCACACACACACACACACACACACTTACATACAAGTCCCCTGTACACTTGTTACTCCAGGCGCAGGGCTCACAGCCTGGCATCGACTATTGCTGGAAATACAGTATCTCCTGTGTTATCTCAGCCCCACCAGATTAGAATCTGCAATTCAACACGGTTCCCAGGTGGTTCCCAGTGTGCACATTAAAGTTTGAAGCACTGCCCTATAATACTGTGTTCCTAAAAACATGTGAGGAGATTGAATGTGAAAAGCTGGACAGTAGACTTATGTGTAAGGGGCATGCCCGTTCCAGAAAGCTAAACATATCATGAAATTCCTGATTACCCTGTGCCTATCAGACAATATTTGATCATATGATTTCAGCATTTTTTACATAGTTTTAATTTTGTTCTTTGTTTCATAACTGAACACTGAAGTAAATAAAGATTAATGATTGTGTGACAGAAGTCACATGAACACCTTTCTTTGCCTGCTAAATGGTCTCCATCTTATCTCAGTTACACTCAACTTTATGAGGACCTTGGCTTGTTACCACCATTTTGAGCCTTTAATTTTCTGTTTTCCACTGATTTTTATGCAAAAGGGAAAATATAATAATTGTACAAATCCAGCTATGTAAGATGAAGATGCTCTTGGGATTTGAGAATTACATGTGCTAGCCCTGTCAGTTGATGCACAAAAGTCTGAATCTGATAAATGAAAGCAATTTTTAAGGTTTTGCCACACTAAATTGCGAAGGGCAGGAAAATGAATTTAAAGTCAAAAAGGATTTAAAATGGGGGCAATCGCTCCATATTATGAAAAACAAAATTGTGTAAAGTTTGCAAAACCGCCCATGATGCATACAAATTACCAAGAGGGAAAAAAAGTTGGAGGATGAAATCTTCACTCACGGTCAGTTTGGCATTTAAGCTAACTCAATGCCCCAATCAGTTTGCTGGCCACCATTTGTTTTTTTGACCAGATTACTTTATTTTCAAATAACCTGCATCATAGGCTTCCATTTCTTCAGCTCACTTAAAGTTATGTTCTTTTATTCCTTCCATCCTTTTTGTATTAGGGTTCTCTGGAGAAATGGAGCCAAGATACAAACGTGTGTGTGTGTGTGTGTGTGTGTGTGTATGTGTGCGTGTATGTGTGTGTGTGTTGTCAGGCTGAATACCCAGGGAGACGTAAATGTTGTAATTGAGATCTGAAGGCCCTTGTTGGCTTAAGTCTCCCCTTGCTGGGGGTTGGGCAGCCTCTTGTTCTATTCAGACCTTTGACTGAGGCTCACCTGCATTGCCATATTGAGAGTAGGTTGCTTCACTTAAAGTCCACAATTTAATTATAAATCTCATCCAAAATATTGTTATAGAAACATCCAGAATAGTGTTTGACCAAGTATTTGGACTATCCAGTTGCCACATAAAAATAACCCTCCCACCTTTCAAGAAATACCCTGTCAGGAGCTTTGCTTTTAGAGGAGAGGAATGTGGCTCTCAGTTCATATCTGCCTAACTCATGTCTTTACTGCTATGGCACATTATACGCTGGCATGAATCTGTAGTAGCGCTGCTAAGAAGGATAGTTCACAAAAGAAGTTAACAACTTGACAAACT